GAGCTGGTGGTATTGCTCAACGTCATTTTACACAGCCGTATGAGTTTTGAGGGGATGCCAAATTCAGACATAGCGGCGTATAGGCAACTCGTTTTAGTGCTGTCAAAGGCGGCTTTAAAGTCGACAAATAGGTGGTGAGTGTCGATCCTTTTCTCGCGGGTCTTTTCCAAGATTTGGCGTATTGTGAATACCTGGTCTATGGTGGATTTGCCAGGTCTAAAGCCACACTGATAAGGCCCAATCAGTTCATTGACGGTGGGCTTCAGTCTTTCACACAATACGCTCGATAAGACCTTGTAACCTATGCTTAGAAGGCTGATCCCGCGGTAGTTGGCGCGAATGGCGGGGTCACCTTTCTTGTNTTAGAAAAATTATATATGAAACTTGCGATGCGATTTGGCAAGAGCTCCATGAGATTTACCTAGCTCAACCAAAGTAGACAGAATGGAAAAACATTGCTGACAGGTTAGTACCCAAAAAAGTATACGTTTATTTAATTTAATTTACGTATATGAATAGGTTTTATGTAAAAACTGGAATGCCGCATTGCCTCGGAGCTGTAGATGGCAAACATATCAAAGTAATTTGCCCTAAATCTAGTGGTTCCCTCTATAACTTCAAGAAAACGTTTAGTATCGTCCTCATGGCAATATGCGATCAGAACTATTCATTTGTGTTCGTTGACGTTGGTGCGTTGGGAAGCCAAAGCGATGGAGGAATTTTCCCCGCAGCGCCTTTGGCAGGATGATTCTACGAAACAACCTTGAAATTGCCCCAGATGATAACCTTCCCGGTAAGTTCGTATATTAACGCTTTTATCAACAGTTGATACATGAGATATTTTAAAGAGGTACGGACAAAATATTTCCATACATTTTTGTCGGGGACAACGCGTTTCCTCTTAGACGCAATCTTATGCGTCCATACCCAGGTCGGAACTTGTCAACCGGCAAGCTTTATTTTAATAAAAAGTTATCATCTGCCCGGGTGCATATCGAAAACACCTTTGGAATTTTGGCAAACAGGTGGAGATTCCTTCACACCACTATAAATGCAGCCCCAGTAAATGTGGACAAAATAGTGTTAGCCACAGTAGTTCTGCACAATTATTTGATGCTTCACAGGAATGGGGGCTACTTCGAACCGAGCTTAGTGGATCGCGAGGAAAATGGAGACAATCTTCGACGGATATGAGATCCATACGAACTTCTCATTCCAACCGTTCCACAATGGAAGCATTTACCTTGAGAGAGGAACTAACTGATTATTTACTGGATTACAATGGTGCTTAAGTTTAGTTAAGACCAGTTTTGANATTGTTTTTAATAACTTTCATTTAAATTATAGTTCGATCTATAACAAGGACTACATGTGGTTATTAAAAATAAATAAATAAACATAAGTTGCTAGCAACACCGTTCTGAATTTTGTTGCTATTATTTTGACCGCAACTGTACCTATATGTAGACGGTGCCCTTCAATAAGGTTTAACCCAAACGTTCTTGCCTCTCCAATATTTCTTCAGTAATATTTGATGAGTAACAAGGTTTGACTTAAACCTTACCCANAAATTTTCACACTTTATATAAAGTTCACAAAAATTCAAACAATTTTCATCAAAACTTCAAAATTTTTATTTAGAATTTCTAGAAAATTTTCGGGTATTTTGTTTTGTAGCCCCTTCAATTTTAGTACAACAAAGTGCTAGTTTTAAGTCCCTAGAAATTACCGTTGATTTTTGATCACGCGTTGAACGGCCTACAAAACTGCATACTCGAAAAATTTCTAGAAATTTTGAATAAAAATTTTGATGAAAATTGTTCGAATTTTTGTGAACTTTATATAAAGTGTGAAAATTTTGATTTATATGGTTTATGTTATAGGGTGAACTATATTTTCATAAACAATTAATGAAAAAAATGTTTAATGAAAATAATTGTGAATTTTATATTAGAACAAGGTGTACACTTACATTTGACACTGACTGTATATGGCTCATTCCACGGTAATCGATACCGAATGAAACGAAAATAAACTTAAGAATTTGAGTGTATTATTTCTAGTAAGTAAGAGTAAATGAATAAAACTTTCAAGACTTAAAGCCAAAGTTTGGAAATTTATCTCAAAATCAGATATTTTTTTACTTTATATTGTACCATTTACAAACTTATGTATATGAGGTTAATTTTCTTCAAAATTGAAAAGACGGAGTTTCGTAGTCTATTGTCTTTTTTGCATTGTTTAAACGGTCAATGGAGAGAACAATTCGTCAGCATTGTAACAGTTTCACACCCGTCACAATTTAAAGTTTGACAAATTTTAATAAATTCGGCCAGGGACTGCAAAATGGTCAAAAATGAACCGGATTTTTTAGCAGCTTGAAACCTGCACTTTATTACATATGCTAAAATTAAATAGATCAAAAAACTAAATTTTTCTANACACTGGACCCTCTTAGTTCTTTATAAACTAAAGCAAAAACTTTGCATTCAATAATGCGCAAATTTTCTTGAGATATATTGGCTTTGGAATTTTTTTTTGCCAGGCTTTCAAACAAAAGTGATGTTGAATCGCGTTCTTTTTCTTGTTCGCAAGGAATACTAGCTAAGTTTTGTACGGTTTCTGAACATTGTTTCATTGCTTCCTTAAACGCCGAGGTTATTTCGTTGTCTGCCTGTTTCTTTGTCACAACTTTTCTTGGCGGAGGGTCCTCACTTCCAACTTCATCCACGATTGTAGANCAAAATGGTCAAAAATGAACCGGATTTTTTAGCAGCTTGAAACCTGCACTTTATTACATATGCTAAAATTANATTCTACAAAAAACACAAAAGTTTTATTAACAAGAACACAAAAAAGGGGGAAATGTTTAGTTATTTGTACAACGATTTTGTAGAGGGTGGCGGAGGGCGTGACCCCCAAACCCTCCCCCCCTCCCCCCTAAACGAAAGAGGATGGACCGATCTTTATGAAAAGTCACCCCTCCCAAAAATCGTTGTACAAATAACTAAACCGCCCAGAAAGGGCCTTAATTGAATAATAGGCAGTTTTCGTGTATTTTCAAAAGAGAATCCATTTTTTTCATATCATATCACAGTACATACATGAGAATACCCAATGTGCACAACCGTGGGTTGGAAATGCATGTATGTACATAAGTAGATACATATGTATGTATGTATACGGATGCTTTAAACAACACTATTTAGAGTACGCGCATACTTACGGTCTAGAATCAGTGTAGTTGTCTAAAAAAGATAGCATTTCCATATATTTCCATCTTTTAACAGGATTGGGAGCGCCACTTCCAGACGCAAGGAGCTCAGAACGCTTTCGTTTCTTATATGTATCTCGGAGCCCTTTCCAGCGCTTGCGACATGCATCCGCTGGTAGAAATATTGTTTATTAATAAGTCTGTTCCAGGTACTTCACGATTTGCAGGTTTTACAGGAAACTGTTCCCGTACGTCACCTTCCATATGGTTTATTAAGGGCGAAAAGAGGGTTTCCTGTAAATCCTGGAGTACCTGGAGCAGGCTTTAAAATTACTTATTTCATGCACATCACTTGTTTGTTTGCACATACACATGTAAATTCATTTATACTTACCGCTCAAATTCAAGGACTGAGCAACTGATTCCCAAATTTCCATTTTCTTGTGGACATTTTTGTATTCGCGATGTGATAAATTAAATAGACAATCATTTTGTTTAATTTGTTCGATCAGAATCTCGTTGATATCCATTCTTTTGTTTGGTTACTATAAATTAAAACAACCGAAGAAACAGCTGATTTCGTCGCACTTATAATTGGGTTACCATGTTTTAAAAAAACGAGCCTATATTTAGAAATTGGAAAATAATAAGAATATAAATATAAAACAAAGATAAATTCTTATAAATCATCTTATTTTAAGCCAGATTAAAATAATCAATTTGTTGTTTTCTTCTAAAACTTTGAAACAAAAAAATCTACGGCCACCTTTGGCAAGCACTGCCGCATTCGCCCAGCATTGGCGATAGAATTAAATCTATTGCCGCGAAACGCCGCCGAGCGAACTTCGCATTTCGCTTTGGCTGTGTTCAATTTCATAGGATTGCGGGTGTTTTAATTTTGACAGCGGCAATTTCGCTGTGGTGAGTTCGCCGTTCGCCGGCATTGTGTTTCCACGGTGATAAGGACCAATCAGTTCGTTGACGGTGGGCTTGAGTCTTTCACACACTACGCTCGATTAGACCCTGTAACCTACGCTTAGAAGGCTGATCCCGCGGTAGTTGGCGCGAATAGCAGGGTCACCTTTCTTGTGGATTGGGCACAGTACACTTAAATTCCAGTCGTCCGGCATGCGTTCATCTGACCATATTCTGCACAAGAGTTGATGCATGCACCTTATCAACTCCTCGCCGTCGTACTTGAATAGCTCAGTTTGCAGGCTGTCAGCTCCAGCAGCTTTGTTTTTTTTCAGCCGCGTTATTTCTACACGTACCTCGTCATAGTCAGGCGGTGGAACATCGACTCCGTTGTCATCGACTGCGGGCTTGGGTTCTTCTTCTCCCCAACTTTCTGTGTTGCTAGCATTTAGTAGAGCGGAAAAATGTTCCCTCCATAATTTAAGTACGCTCTGGACATCAGTTACTAGGTCGCCATTATTGTTCTTACAGGAGTGCGCCCCGGTCTTTAAACCTTCCGTAAGTCGCCTAACTCTCTGGTAAAATTTTCGGGCATTCCTCCTGTCGGCCAGCATTTCAAGCTCTTCGCACTCACGTATTTCGGCCTCTCTCTTCTTGTTGCGGCAAATACGTCTCGCTTCCCTCTTCAGATCCCTATAGCGGTCCCACATAGCGCGCGTTGCGCCCGATCGCAGCGTGGCCCTGTAGGCGGCATCTTTTTTCTCTGCAGCTTCCTGACACTCCGCATCGTACCAGTTGTTCTTTCGGGCTCGCTGAAATCCGACTACTTCTTCGGCGGCGGTACTTAATGAGCGGGAAATGTGGTTCCACTGCTCGCATATGTCGGTTTGTTGAAGAGTGCTCTCTGAGAGCAGGTGTGAGAGTCGAGTAGCGAAAGCGCTGGCTGTCTGTTGTGATTGCAGCTTTTCGACGTTAAGCTTTCCTTGCATATTTGGGCGCACATTTTTTGCTGCACAGAGGGGGGTGCGTATCTTGGCTGCAACAAGATAGTGGTCCGAGTCGATGTTTGGGCCTCGGAGTGTGCGTACGTCTAAAACACTGGAAGCGTGCCTTCCGTCTATCACAACATGATCGATTTGGTTTCTCGTTTATCGATCCGGAGACAGCCACGTAGCTTGATGGATCTTTTTATGCTTGAACCTAGTACTGCATACTACCATGTTTTGGGCCCCGGCGAAGTCGATCAGCCTCAATCCGTTGTCGTACGTTTCATCGTGGTGGCTGAATTTTCCGACGGTGGTTCCAAAGATCCCTTCCTTGCCCACCCTGGCATTGAAGTCGCCAAGTACGATTTTGATATCATGACGGAGGCGGCGCTCGTACGTGCGATTCAAGCACTCATAGAAGAGATCCTTGGATGCCTCATCCTTCTCTATAGCGAGCCGCTTGCTCCAAGCAGACACCCGCTTGCAGCCGCACCTACTGGTGAACAGACGCTGCAGACTTCAGTGAGCCCTTAAACCGAATAAGTCGGAGTGGCCCCACGAAGCTCCCTCTCTTTCTGCCGTGACCCTAGGCTCCACTCGGATTGGTTACCGCATCTCGCGCATGGGTTGCTCACGTTGCCCAGAGTGCGTGAACGAGGACGCAAGAGTCGGGATTGATCATAGCCATGCAACTGTAACTGCATACCCAACGCAACGACTATACCCCATTGCACTCCAGTTATTAAATTAGCAAGTGCATTAAAGGCTGATTTTTTTGGCTTATAGAAAGTGGAATTTCGTTACTACATAAATATAAAAAAAAATGCGTGAGTACTAGGTACTCATGAAATTTGATGTGTAAACATATGCGAACGGCAAAGCATAAAAGTACGTTTACATGTAAATATAATCACAATGAAAGCTCGTTAGCTGTCAAATTGGTTGTGCTTGTAATTCTCAAAAGTTAGGCACGGTGCACATTAGAGCGATACGATACGCGATGCGATATGAAAGGCGCACAGTGCACATTAGAGCGATGTGACATGCGATGCGACACGCGATACCATTTTGTGATATCTACACAAACTTTGTGCCCTTATAAGCTTGTTAATGAGTTAAATAAGTTGCTTTTCAACCGAGTTTAGACGTTTCGAATGATGGGTCTATATTTAAATCTATAAACTTTTAAAAAATTTAGAGAGAAAAGTATGTTTAATATTCAGTAACACTGATGTTTATTTTTACAAAGTCGGCTAAAATTTAAATGAGATATTCTAATTTTCATGGCAAATTATTTCCGAATATTGCGTTCACTACAAGGACAAATCGGTGAAAGCTGAATTAAAAAAAGGGTAAGCAAAAGCTGTTGAGTTGTATATCCAAAAATATTCTTTTTCTTATGAAAGTTTGAATAACTTTCCCCCGATTTTTTAAAGTAAAAATCCCTATATATTAAATGTTAATTTTGCATCAATTCAGGAGTAGTATAGTTGCTTTATAGTGCGTGAAAACTTCGCCACTTTCTCTATTTAATTTAAAAATTATTAAATATAATAAAATAATACTAAAGAGAAAAAACATATAGATATATAACGAATAATCAAAAATAATTACCTACACACATACATCATTTTTTAGTATTTGTTATTATATCTGATTTCTTCTTTTAATGGTAAATGAGATGATTATTTCTTAATTGTTTCTAAGTACATTGATTACTGTTTATTTGAATATTTGAAACAAAATAGTTAATCATTAACATTTAAACAAACACCAAATCTTTTTTGCTGTTCAAAATCAAAATTAAATAGGTTTAAAATTATTGGATTCTTTAAATTTCTTTTTCAAGATGTGAAAACAAAGGCAAATAAGCCATCACGAAAAATATTCTTTTGAGCATTTACCTGTGTCCTTGACCTCAGACGCTATATTTCTCCATGCCAAACTAGTCATGTCTATTCCACAGTAGTTTTATGTAGTATAGTTCCATAAACATGAAATTATTTTATTAATTCGACTAAAAAAAATTGATGATGATGATTCCGCCTGTGAAACGATCATGCTTATTGAAAAAAATGCCGCGCACGTGCGATACGCATGCGATATTATATCGCAGCGGTGTGGCTGTCGTGCAAGTGTGCACAGATTTCATCGCTTCCTACCAACTCCCACGTACTCAGCATGCCGATGTCGCATTCATATCGTATCGCGTATCGTATCGCATATCGTATCACTCTAATGTGCATCGTGCCTTAAGCTTCTTATCTTTGCCACCGTCGTAGGAATGTCGGAAAAACATCGATGAATCGATGTTTTTTGAAAACCGACATCTCTGGTACATTGAACCGTAAATCCAGTTTTTAAATTGTACAAAAGAGAGAAGTGACTTTGGACAAAAAATTTAAACGACTGCAAAAAGTTCCGTTAGAAACACAATTAGCTCAGTTGAAGTAATTTATTTCAAATATTCTACATTTTTGCTAATAACATATTTTGTTGTGAAACATTATCTGAAAAATCCTATGCAAATCGATGCATCGATGTATGCCCTTCGATACATCGAAATATATCGATGTACATTTCGATGCATTGAATCCAAGAAAAACATCGATGTATTTTTGCCATTGACATTCCTACATCGTGGTCACTTTTTTCTTCTACACATATTATGATATTTAAATATATTTTAGCTTATTATTTTATTAAAAATATCTTTACAAACCTCTTTTCCTTGCTAGCGTCAATTTCTGTTTACTTTTGCCTTTGACATTCCTCCTCTTCCTCGCAAGTATAATCGATAGAACTTGGTTGGACACCAAAAAGTGATTGGTTTAATCTGAAATTATTTTATAATTATAATTTTGTATGACTGATCTCTTATTAATATTTTTATATGTAAACCTATTAGGCGAATCAGTTACATAGGGCCTGTGCCAATCGGTAACTTTTTTCTCCGTGGTGAGACGGGGTGGAAGAATTTGCTATGGTGTACAGATAAATTGAATTTTGCTGTGCCAAATGCAGAGTTAAATTTTGACAGTTGAAAAACCAAACAAACGCTCGAGCGAAAAGTCTATTTTTGTGTGTTGCTCAAATTTGTTAAAATTTATATGTAAAATGAACAGAATAGAAAGAAAATACTTTTCTTTATTTTTTTCTTTTCTCTCTCATGGACACTTCTCCTTCTCCGCTGTCCAATAAATAGGAGGGATGGTAATTGTCTTTCTGAGATGCATACTCGTGCATCGCGTCGAAATACTGCCAGTCTTTTGCTTCCTCTGCTACCGCCTCTTCTCCTGTTCCTTCGCCTGGTGTAAAAATAACATTTTGGTAAATACAATTTTAACCTTCAAATGGATGTGTCCATACCTGTTTTGTAGCGAAAGAAACTTTTGTATTTCTTCACTAGAGCATTCCACTGTGACTTGCAGCACATCCAGTCTTTGTTCATTGGAAGCGACGCCGATACTTTTCTGCAAAATTACATTCAGATCTGCCAATCATACAAGTAACGTACGCTTTTTTTGCCATTTTTCAGCTTCTATTTTGATTTGAACTCTTTATTACCGCCAAACAATGCTATTTGTAAACATATTTAGAAGTTGTCAAAATTTTCCCTAGCCCCATGAGCTAGCTAAAATTTTGACGTTCGTATTCACCACGAGAAGTGTCAAATTTTTACTTTGATCCGTCAAAATTTTAAATTTTCTATCAATAGGCACAGGGCCATACATACAAATAATTTTATTCATTT